AAAATGTGGGACAAAACTCAAAAGTATAAACTATGGCCAGGCTGACTGATCTGGCAAAAACTGGCAGAACCCCCATGGAATATTACTCGCCTCCCATTCCAAAGAAAGGTGACCCAACAGAGTGTGGAAACTACAGAACAATATCATTGATTTCACATGCAAGCAAGATTCTGTTGAAGATTATCCAAAAACGATTGGAACAGCACATCAGCAGAGAAATGCCAGAAGTCCAGGCTGGGTTTCGAAGGGGTCGTGGTACTAGGGATATTGTAGCTAATGTTAGATGGATCTTGGCAGAAAGCAGGGAATACCAGAGGAATGTCTATCTGTTTCATTGATTATGCAAAAGCGTTTGACTGTGAATCATAACAAACTGTGGCTGACTCTGAGAAGAATGGGAATCCCAGAACACTTGATCATGCTAATGCGAAACTTATACTTGAACCCAGAGGCAGTTGTCAAAACAGAGCAAGGAAACACTGCATGGTTCAAAATTGGGGAGGACATATGCCAGGGATGTGTCCTGTCTCCATACCTTTTCAACCTGTATGCAGAACAGATCATCCAGGAGGCTGGACTCTATGAGGAGAAATGTGGCATCAGGATTGGTGGAAGACCCATAAACAATCTGCATTATGCAGATGACACAACCCTGCTTGCTGAAACTGAGGAGGACCGGAAACACTTGCTGCTGAGGGTCAGGGACTGCAGCCTTCAAGATGGATTGAGGCTCAATGTCAAGAAGACAAAGATTCTCACCACTGGACCAGTTGGCAGCATCAGGATGGATGGTGAAGAGATTGAGACTATTCACAGCTTTAGTTTGCTTGGCTCCACAATCAACACTCTTGGCACTAGCAGCCAGGAAATTAAAAGATGTATTGCCATGGGAAAGTCTGCTGTTAGGGACCTCTCTAAAGTACTGAAGAGCAACGGTGTGTCTCTGGAGACAAAAGTCCATCTGGTACAGGCCATGGTCTTTGCAATCACTTGTTATGCATCAGAGAGTTGAACAATGACCAAGGAGGATAGAAGGAGAATTGATGCTTTTGAGCTTTGGTGTTGGAGAAGAGTGCTGAAGGTGCCATGGACTGCTAGGAGAACAAACAGATTCATCCTGGAGAGGGTTAAACTGGGCTGCTCCTTGGAGGATTCTGAAGCTTCGTCTGACATACTTTGGTCATGTTGTAAGGAGAGACCGGTCCTTGGAGAGGGACATCATGCTTGGTAGGGTGGAGGGCAGGCGCAGGAGGGGAAGGCCCTCTGGGAGATGGATTGATTCGGTGACTGAGGCAATCAGGATGAGTGTGTCAGAGGCAATGAGATTGGCACAGGACAGAGCAGAGTTTAGAGCTGTTGTACATAGGGTCGCTATGAGTTGCAAGCGACTCGACGGCACATAACAACAACAACAACATGGCTCAACATTCAGCCACACAGAGATGCTGCCTGCTCCCCACAGGGCGGCTCCGGGCAGGAGCCATTGCACTAACTCTGACTGTCCTCACCCACCAAAACAAAGTCCTGCCCAGCCGGCACCATCCTCAGCAGTCGAGTCCACTGTGGCAGCTGCTGTGTGTTGAGGGTCTTGCTCTCTTCTACTCAGCCTCCATTTTTCCAGGTATGGTGTCCTCCTCTAAGGACAAGTCCCTCTTGAGGACAGACTCAAAATACGCGAGATGGAGTTTCCCTGTTCTCGTTTCTAAGGTGCACTCTAGCTGCACTCCTTCCAAAACAAATTTATTTGTTCTTCTGGTAGTCTGCGGTCCTTTCAATAGTCTTTGCAACATCGTAATTCAAAGGCACCCATTATGCTCCGGTCGTCTTTATTATCCAAATTTCACACATATGAGGGAAGCACCATGGCATGGGACAGGCACCTTAGTCCTCAAAATGGCACCTTTAAAGAGGTGCTTAGCAGCAGAGTTGATGCTCAGTGTTGCCAATTCCCGAGGTTGAAATGTCCATTATACACACTGACAGAGGAGACTAATCAGAACTGGTTTTGACAAGCACTGTGGCAATGGGACAATTAAAACAGACTTTCAAGGACTATTCAACCTGAATCCTTCTGATCACATGGAGATTTTTGAAAGTATTTCTTTGAGTTTATTATGTTTAATTTGTTTTATTTGTGTATAAAGGATGCTCATCTAGATGATAACATAATTATGATAAAAGCAAAAGGGGGGAAATATGGGAAGCCAATACTAAATATTTGTAATAAATTGAATGCTATTTAAATTTAAAAAGAAAGGGGGGAAAAAAGAACAACAACAAAAAGAAATGCCCATTATTCCGCCAGCTGGGACCCTACAGATCAGTGAGAATCTGTTTCCTTCACACAAGCTCCCAAATGGGCTTCTAGTCTTGCTTTCACCTCAAATCCCACCAAGTAGAGACCCAGCTCTGTGCTGAACAAGGTTACAGAGGCGGTGGGCCAGTTCTGAGTGCCACTTGTTGCCCTCCCCCTCCTCAGTCCCCTCTACACATCTCTTCATCAGCTTCTCCAGGAAGCTGCCCCCAGGGATATACTGATCTCTGTTGTTAGGTGCCTGGAGTTGATTTAAACTCATAGAGACCTTAATTGACAGTGTATAATTCTTCCCTAGGCTTTGCTTTTTATTGTTATTTGAGTACAAGTTTACAGGGTATATTCGTTTTACATTCAACAACTCAGTTTTATTTTGTGACATTGATTGTAGTCCCTACAATGTAGCAGCATCCTTCCTACCTCCTCCCTGTGGTTCTTGTTTCCATTCATCCTTTCCCCCCTACCCTTTTCTGCCTTCTGAGCTTTCTTCCTGGGCAAAAGCTGCTCTTTTGATCTCTTCTAGTTGCTTGTTCGAAGATGTGTGCTTCTCTCTGGTGTTATCAATCTCTTTGGCATTGTTTGGCTGAAAGTTAAGTCCGGAAGTGATTTCGTTTCCAGGCTGGAAAGACGACTAAGGCCACACTCTTGAGGATTCCACCAACCTCTGTCAGACCAGTAAACCTGGTCTTTTTTGTTGTTGCTGCTGCACATTTTTCTCACACTCCATCAGGGACATTCCAGAATACTCAGCGCAGTGGCTGGGCACCTTTGGTTCTTGTGGACTCAGGTCTTGGAGCCTGGCACTCTCTTCCTGTAAAGATCTGCAAGGGGCAGGGTGGCCTTTCTGGTACTAGTTCTTGGGTTTTCTTCCCTCCTCTGCTCCAGTCCGTCGGCTTTTCAGTCATCCTTATGACAGACAACCTGGGAAATTGAGTCATGGGGGGCAGGGGAGTATTTGACCTTGAGGCTGGAGGATGAGTCAGCTCTCCTTGCTCTGTGCCCAGACAAGGACCAAGTCTACACCAGGGATTCAGCTCTGCTTTCAGCAAGTGTCCCCATCTGCTCCTTCCTAACATGACTTCAGGGCCAATCTGCACTGGACTCTGCTCTGAGCCGTAGGCCTCTGCTCTGAGCCCTGGGCTTACAGTTCCTTTCCTGCCTTGTGTAGGCAGAGCAGATACAAACCTCCACTGCCCTCAAGTTGCTTCAGATGCATGGTGATCCCTCTCCATTGGCTTTTTGAGTTTATAAATCTTAACCAGAGCCAACTGCCTCTTCCTTCTCCCTTGGAGCTACTAGTGGATTCAAAATGCTGACCATTGGGTAAGCAGCCCAGCACTTAACACATATACCACCACCAAGGCAGACAGAAGTGCTCACAGTTCCTCCAGCCCACGAGGTCCCTGAGAAGGGAGTGATGTGCAGAGGGCTAAAGGTTATGGGTGAAATGATGGGTAGAGAAGAACACCAGGGTCTCTGAGCAGTGGATGCTACATATACAAAACCCAGGGATGAGAGGGAGCCCAGGCTACTGGTGTGACCAGAGGAGACCTCATGCACAGAAAACCCACTGTGCAGGCCCTGGCCTGCCCTGGCCTCCCCTGGCCTTGAGAGAGGTGGGCTGTCCCCAAGTCTCCCAGCTTTACCTTATGTCAAAATGCAAATCGCTGCTGCCAAATCGAATTGACTGCAGCTCACTACGTCCTGCCATCGGTTTCCGAGATGGTGAGTCTTGACAGGTGGAGATGACTTTATTGTTTTCCTTCGGAGCTGCTGATGGATGAAACCTTTTAGTTAATGACCACACCACCAGGCAGCCTCAATTTACCTTGTTTACTCCCGCATTGGAACAAGCGGGGATGCTGCCTGTTTAAAAACGTCCCTACCCCACTTGGAACGGCTGAAACCCAGCATCCTAGAGGCTGGGCTCAGAGTGGGGCTCTCTGCATGAAACAATAGTGCTCGGAAGCCCAGAAACCAAGCGAGCAATGTTCTGGCCCAGGTTTGAGATGAGTTCCCAGAATCCTCATGAGAGCTTCCAGGCCTAATCACAGCAGCCTGAGGTTGGGGCTCCTGCCCTAGCTCTCAGCACCTTGATCTCAGGTCCCAGAACCTTGCTCAGCTATCAGCAAGCACTGTGGCTTCAGCCAGCCAGGCTTCCTTGGAGAAACCCAGGTGTCCCTTTCCTGCAACTCCTAAAGCTCTCTTCAAAGCATCTTTGTTCCAAGCTGGACAGGTGAAGCCACAGTCACGCCCTGGGCACTGTAATTACCTGTGGTTGGGCCTCCTCCCCTTCCCTGCACGTTAAGCCCCCAAGCCCGCCCCTCACCCAGTTAGCCAGAAGTACACCAGCTCACAGGGTGAGAGCATGGGGTAGGGCTGTCAGGGAACAAGGGCTGCTAAGGATAGAGGCTGCCTCAGGACTGAGCCACTGTGGGGTAAGGGATATGGGAAGAGAGGGGCATGAGGCCATGGTGAGGCTGCAGATTTGCCTGAGTGGTCACTGGGACCTTGTACAGAAGGAAGAAAACAGGAAGTGGGCCACAAGGAGCTGTCCAGAAGTTGAGGGCAGAGGTCCTCTGGGACTAGTGCTGGGTGGCCAGGACCCTCTCTCTTCTCCACTGACTCCAGAACAGAACCCAGGCCCAGACAGTGTCGCCTCCCCCAGATCAGCCCTGGCTACAGAATGAAGAGGATACCTGGGCACAAGGTCCTCCTGGTCTTGGTCCTGCTGCTGCTGCTGCTGCTGCTGGGTGAGTGAGTCAGGGACTGGCCTGGGAACCCTGACCCCCAGTTCTCTCATTACATCCTTTTCTGGGCCTGGCTGCGCTAGCGCTCGCTCTCTCTCTCTCTCTCTGTGGTGGCTAATACCAGCTCCAGGAGTTCAAACCCTCCCTTCCACGGATCCCATGCTTTTGAGATGTGATGTGACCAGCTACAAAGAGAGGGGGGGGGGGGATAAAGGTTACAGCAAGTGACCCATTGCATAAAGTCTGGCATAAGCTACTACTCCGAAATATGGCCCCCTCCTTCCTAATCTGACCTCCCCGCCCCATGGGACACCTGACACTAAATCTATAATCCAGTTTGAACCCACTTCCTTCTCCAGGAGCTGTAGGGACCCTGGAGTCTGCAGGTAAAGAAGCCTGGCGCCTGACCGTGCCCTCTTTCCTCCTTCCCTCTCCCCACCTCAGGCTCCCAGTCCTTGGCCCATCCTCACCCCCACTTGTTCCCTGCAGCTTGCGGGCAGCCCCGCGTGTCTAGCCGCATCGTGGGGGGCCGGGATGCCCGGGACGGAGAGTGGCCGTGGCAGGCGAGCATTCAGCATCGCGGGGCGCACGTGTGCGGGGGCTCGCTGGTCGCCCCCCAGTGGGTGCTGACCGCGGCGCACTGCTTCCCCAGGTCGGCAGGGGGCGCGCCCCTCTCCGAGGGCTCAGGAGTGCCTGGTGGAGGCGCTGGGTGGTGGGGCCGCGGGCTCGCGGTCGGAGGGCAGGTGGCGCGCGCTTCAAGTCGCCCGTCTCCTCTCCTTCACAGACGGGCGCTGCCTTTCGAGTATCAGGTGCGCCTCGGGGCGCTGCGCCTGGGCCCCGCCACGCCACGCTCACTCTCCGCGCCCGTGCGCCGCGTGCTGCTGGCCCCGGACTATTCCGAGGATGGAGCCCGCGGCGACCTGGCGCTGCTGCAGCTACGCCGCCCGGTGGCCCTGGGCGCTCGCGTCCAGCCCGTGTGCCTGCCAGCGCCTGGCGCCCGCCCGGCCCCCGGCACCTCATGCTGGGTCACCGGGTGGGGCAGCCTACGGCCGGGAGGTAAGGGGTGGTTGGGAGGCACGGGAGATCGGGACGAGACAAGGGGAAGGTCTCTGCCCACGTGCCTCCTCCATCACTTACATCCTCGCGTAAAATGAGATTCTTGGCAGGTTGCCAGGAGCACAGCCCATTTCTCAGTCGAACACGAACACCGCGTCGGGGCTTCTGCTCCTTTTAGCCCTTTTCACCTTCATCTCCGCCCCCAGTTCCACTTCCAGAGTGGAGACCACTGCAGGGAGTGAGAGTGCCGCTCCTGGACTCGCGCGCCTGTGACCGCCTCTACCACGTGGGCGCCGACGTGCCACGCGGGGAGCGCATAGTGCAGCCGGGGAGTCTGTGCGCGGGGTACGCGGAGGGCCACAAGGACGCCTGCCAGGTGAGCGGGTCCAGAAACCCGGGCTCTCAGTTTCCCAACACAGATGGACCTCAGATCCGGGAGGCCGAAACCTAAGCGCCTCTTTCTCCTGCAGGGCGACTCCGGGGGACCCCTGACCTGCGTGCAGTCTGGGCACTGGGTGCTGGTGGGCGTGGTGAGCTGGGGCAAAGGCTGCGCGCTGCCCAACCGCCCCGGAGTCTACACCAATGTGGCCATCTACAGCCCCTGGATTCAGGCTCGCCTCAGCCTCTGATGTGGTAACGCTGCCTGCAGCTAGAAGCCGGCATTCCTTAACCTCTATCCTTCTGGGAACCTGCACACCCTGTCCCCACGCCTGCTTCTACTGCCTTGTGGCTGAGAGGCCTCAGAAATCTAACTGGTATTCTGCAACTTAGTTAGACTTCTATCCATCTGCCCAACTACCCATCTGTACATCTTTCTTGCTCTGTACCTTGGGGTCCTGCCCTAGGATTGTCGCGTGTGACCAGGGACCCTGCACTCCCTCCCTTCCTCCCCGCCTTGCAGGTCTTTTACAAACACCACACTCTCTCCTCTCTTCTCTCTCTGACTGGGGCCGGTGCTGGACAGATCAGCTGGTGCCCCTTCAGGCCTTATGGCCTTGATTATCTGGAGGATGTGGTAGAAATCTGATGTCCAAGAGAAATTGCTGGCTCTGAAAATGGAGGCGGGGCACGCGTCTGGGAACTGAGTGCTTTCAAACCTGGTTCCACAACTGATGGAGCTGACTTTTGGGCACCCCTCTGAGCAAGCCAGACCTGAATGGTTCCTGGAGTCTGGCCCTGGTCAGCGAACTTATAGGACTACTACCTTAGAGAGTTGGGATTTAATAAATTGGTGTTGTTTTAAGCTGCTATGTAAGAGATGGAAAATGCAATGATTCTGCCATCACTGTGCATGATTTGTCAGGAGACTAAGCCCAGGTCCATGATTCAGATCCACCAGTCATTCCTCATGGACATACTCTTTATCCACAACATTAACTCAAAGATGCCAACTCTTCAATCTTCCTGAGTCATTGTCCAACTTTCACATACATACGCGTTGTTCTCAGGTGTCGTTAAGTATTCCCATAGCGACCCTATAAACAAAAGAGCTGAACCCTGTTCTATCCTGTGCCATCCTCACACTTCCTGACACCCAGGCGCCCACTGCAGCAGTCACTGCATCAGTCTACCTGGTTGAGGGTCTTCCTCTCCTTCTCCGACCCTCCACCCTTCCCAGAATCATGTCCTTCTCAAAGGAATAGTCCCTCCTAGCAACATGCCCAAAATATGTGAGGTGAAGCCTCATCATCCTTGCCTTCAAAGAGCACTCTGTCTGCACCCTCTCCAAGACATACCTGTTTGTTCTCCTGCCATCCATGAGATGTTCAGTGCTCTTCTCCAACTCCAAAGCTCAAAGGTGTCAATTCTTTTTCTGTCACCCTTATTCATTGTCCAGCTCTCAGATGCATAGCAAGTGATTGGAAATACTATGGCCTGAATCAGACACACCTTAATCCTCAAACTGACGTCATTACTCCTCAATAATTTAGAGTGGTCCCTAACTGCAGATGTTCCAAGTGCAATGTGTCTCTTTTATACTGGTATCAAGGGTATTGTGGATCCAATCAAGATGAAGCTGTGAACAATTTCAGTCTCCTCTCCATCCATCATGATGCTGCCTATCAGTCCAGTGATAAGAATCTGTTGTCTTGACATTGAGATGCAATCCATACCGAAGGCTGCATTCCTTGATCTTCTGCAAGTGCTTCAAGTCCTCCTCACTTTAAGCAAGCAAGGCTGTGTCATATGCATAATGCAGGTTATTGATGAGTCTTCCTTCAATCCTGATGCAACACTCCTCTTTTTAGAGTCCAGCTTTAGTATAATTTGCTCATACCTATATTGAATAGGTATGGAGCGAGAATACAACCCTTACACACTTCCTTCTCCATTTTAAATCATGCAGTGTTCCCCTGCTCTGTTCATACAATAGCTTCCTGGTCCAGGTATAGGTTTTGCATGAGCACATTCCCATTCTTCTCAATATCAGCCACAACTTGCTATCATCCACGCAGTCAAACACTTTTGCATAGTCAATAAAACACAAATAGACATTCTCCTGGTATTTTTCACTTTCAGCCAGGATCCATGTGACATCAGCAAAGAAATCCCTGGTGCCATGACCTCTTCTAAATTCTGACTGACCTGGCAGCTCCCTATCTAGGTACTTGTTCTAGCTGTTAATGATCTTCAGCGGTATGTACATGAAGCAATTGAAAATATTAGGGCTTGGGTCAGGCATACCTTAGTCTTTAAAGTGGCATTCTTGTTCTTTAGTATTGACATGGAGATTCCAAAATCCCCAGCCCAGTGCCATGGAATCAGCAGGGACCCATAGCCACAACAAGGGACACAGCACAACTGCCTCATAGGGTTTCTGAGCCTGTCAATCGTTACAGAAGCAGACTGCCACATCTTTCTCTCCTAGAGTGGTTAGTGGGTTCAAATTGGAGCCAGCTGCTTAATCACCTTCACAGAGAGTTAAGGAGTGGAAAATAACTGGCACTATAACTTACAAACATTTCTGTATCAAAGAGGTGGATCTTCAATGAGATGAGCTGACATAGTGGCAGCAATAATGGGTTCACACACAGAAGCAACTGTGAAAATGGTGCAAGACCAGGCAGGGCTCCACAGACCCCATAGCACTTACTCACAACATAGACAACTCACAACAAACACAAGAAGGCTTTATGAACTGTCATTCTCCCTCTCTAGGAGGATGAACTAGGGCTGTTTGGGTAATTGCCTTTAGCCACGCAGAGTTAGGGATGGATGTGGACTCGGTGAGCCTGAACCCACATCTGTGGAGTCAGCTTCCTGCTGGCCCACTACTTGGATCAGACGTAAAACTCAGAATTCAGGAAGGGGTTGGATATAAAGAATAATGGAAATAAGAATAGACTCTCGAAGGTATTATGTTCTAAATATTTTTTCTTCCCCTCCACCCATATTTTAAATCTTAATGCGTATGAATGCTTGAGTGAAAAATGAATTTGCTTTGCAAATGACACATACAAACACACATACACAATCAGAAAACAAACTCTGGCTTCCCTGCTGTTTTGTTAGATGCTTTCTAGTCTACTTCGACTCATGGTGGCTCTATTAATAGATCCAAATCTTGACTGATCCTATACCACCCTAGTTGGAGGCCAGAGGGACTGGCATGCTGAGATTTAGAATCGTGCCATAATCATGGCAAAAGTGGCAAACCACTCAGGCATGATAAGCAGGAAATCAGCAAACTGAGGGACGGCTAATGTGGCCAAGTAAATGTCGCTTATAGGCAATGTTCCTGGCTAGGGTACAGTGTTAAGTCAGCAGAAGGGTGGTGCTTGCTTCTGAATTAAAAACAAAGTTTGCCTTAACTTGCTCCTGAGAAGGTTGATAAATATAAAGGGCCATAGATACCTGAGCTTTTCTTCTTCTTGAGGAGTTGAGTCCCTGACCCCTTCTTAAAGATCAATCTATGTCTGAGTTTTCTTTCAGTTGCCATTCGCTCCCTTAGAGTTCCCTGGCATTCTGCAAGCTGGATCTCACCCACTTTCATGATCTCTGTTATGTGCAAGCCCATTGTTACAGTCAATGTCAATCCATCTTCTTGAGGGGGCTCCCCTCATTTGCTAACTCTCCTTTTCCAACATTTCTCTTTCAAAGGATTGGTCCCTCCAACATAATACGTAAGGGTTTAGGCTCCACCATCTATATTTGTTCCCATTCCAAAGAAAGGTGATCCAACAGAGTGTGGAAATTATCAGAAAATATCATTGATCACACATGCAAGCAAGATTCTGCTGAAGATTATCCAAAAATGACTGGAACAGGACATCAGCAGAGAACTGCCAGAAGTGCAGGTTGGGTTTAGACAAGGTCGTGGTACTAGGGATTTGTTGTTGTTATGTACCATCAAGTCCTTGCAACTCACAGTGACCCTATGTACAACAGCCCTAAACTCTGCTCTGTCCTATGCCATTCTCACTGTCCCCAACACACCCATCCCGATTTACCCCAGTCACCGAACCAATGCACCTCCTAGAGGGCCTTCCCCTCCTGCACCTGTCCTCCACCCTACCAAGCATGATGTCCTTCTCCAAGGACCTGTCCCTCCTTACAACATGACCAAAGTATGTCAGACGAAGCCTCAGAATCCTTGCCTCCAAGGAGCAGCCCGGTTTAACCTTCTCCAGGATGGATCTGTTTGTTTTCTT